ATATCCCATTGCACCCCTGGGAGTTTGTCGTGGGGAATTTGGGAACTGAAGGCCCAAGCCTGTGTTCAGGCACGTTGTTGACCGGTCTTCAGTTCTAGATAACGTAATTAAAAACCTCATCGTGTCCAAGATCAAATAAGACCTTCTAGCTACTTCCTCATTTTGTGTGTGACGGATTCAAGCGACTTAAGTACAAAGCCCACTGCATGATCTAACTCAGTTTAAGTCATACTCTCTAAATAGAAGCAAATTAACAAGTGCATTAACGTTAAATTATCGCCAGCATATCCTTTCAGCTCCGGCTTGCCTTTTGCCGTACTGAAGTGGTGAGGGTTTCATTTTTTATGCGCTCCTGCTTTTCTGTTATTTATTTATTTTTGTAGTCCACTCTTTGTAATACCAGTGTGAAAGGGAATTTAATGGCTTTGTGTCAGGAAAGGCCTATTTATTCTGACAAACTGATCAACCTCCAGGGTGTTCCGCCACCATGAAACTGATTTTATATCTCATCCACTAGCTGATACGATGTGAAGCATTTACGCTGTCGCGCCAGCAGATCAGACTGGCTCCCGCAGCGAGCAGCGGGGCGAAGTCACACACAGAGCCCTCTTCTCAAGTGGCTGGACAGTGCAGCCCACGCTTTTTCAACATAGCACGTAAGAACAGAATGTTAGGTGGGAAGGACACCCCGAGATGAGCAAATACATTAAAAAAAAACCACACACACACACTTAAGAGGAAGCTCTAAGATCTAATTCATTCGCTATTCACTGGATTCGCTTTCAGTTAGGAGGGGGAAAAAAAGTCAAAAATCAAAACCTGTTGGTATTGGTGATTTGCGTAACACCATCCACACACACACCCCTGTCCCACCAAACTGAACCTGTAAATAAAGTTTATATACCACAAAATGTGGGGGTCAGTCAGTTTGCGGTGCGAAGAAAAATAAGACTATAATGCTGTAAAAGTGACGGCTGGACGATTGTGGCTCATCTGTGCAAGAGGCCTTTCCCTGTAATACTTGTCTTTCTTGTTTATTATGTCCTGAGACTATGATCATTTTCAGATGAGCCATTAAAACAAGAAATTGGACAAGGGGAAAGAGAGAAACCGGTTTCTGTGGGGAAGAGGACGCAAAGGAAACCTGTCTTGCATGGGCTGTCCTTCGGAGGCAAGCAGCACGGTCCTGGAGGCTAAAAGTCCAAGAACAGATGTCGGCAGGGTTGGTTTCTTCTTCGGTCTCTCTCCCTGGCCTACAGACGGCCACCTTCTCATCGTGTCCTCACATGGTTGTGCTTCAGTCTATGTGTCGCCTGTGTCTTAATCTCTTATAGGGATACCAGTCATATTGGATTAGGACCCACTCAAATGACCTCATTATACCTTATTTACCTTAATGTGAAGGCTATATCTCTAAATACAGTCACATTCTGAGGTACTGAGTGTTAAGACTTTGACATATGATTGACAAACCTTTAGCTAGACTTATCACGGAAAAAGAAATAGGACTCAATAATATCAGAAATGAATGAAAAGATAGTACAACTGTTACCACAAAAATATAAAGGATCATGAGAGACTAGTATGAATAATTATACGCCAACAAATTAGACAACCTAGAAGAAATGGTTACATTCCTGGAAACATATAATCTACCAAGACTAAATCATGAAGAAAATAGAAAATGTGTACAGGTTGATTGAATTAGTAATCCGACCAGTAAGGAGACTGAATCAGTAATCAAAAACCTCCCAACAAAGAAAAATCCATGGCCAGACAGCTTCGCTGGTGAATTCTACCAAACATTCAAAGAAGAATTAATATCATCTTCCTGGACTATTCCAAAAAAAGATAACAGGAGGGAATACTTCCTATCTCGTTTTATAGGTCAGCATTACCCTGATACCAAAACCAGACAAGGACACAACAAGAAAAGGAAATTATAGGCCAATAACCCTAAGGAACATAGATGCAAAAATTATCAACAAAATATTAGCAAACCGAATTCAACGATACTTGAAAAGGATCTATACCATGATCAAGTAGGATTTGTTTCAGGGATGCAAAGTGGGTCGAATATCTACAAGTCGATCAATGGGATACACGACATTAACAAAATGAAAGATAAAAACCAAGTGACCATACCAATAGACGCAGAAAAAGCATTTGACAAAATTCAACATCATTTATGATCAAAATTCTCAACAAAAAGGTATAAAGGGTACATGCCTCAACATAATAAAGGCCACATATGACAAGCCAACAGCTAATATCACACTCAATGGTGAAAATCTAAAAGCTTTTCTTCTAAGATCAGGAACAAGATGAGGATGCCCACTCTTGCCTGATATTCAACACAGTATTAGAAGTCCTAGCCAGAGCAATTAGGCAATAAAAATAAATAAAAGGCATCTAAATTGGAAAAAAAGAAGAACTGTCCCTGTTTGCAGAGAATATGATATTATATAGAGAAAACCTTAAATATTCCACTAAAACAATGTTAGAACTAATATGTTTGGTAAAGTTGCAGGGTACAAAATCAATACACAGAAATCTGTTGTATTCCTATACACTAATAACAAGCTATCAAAAAAAAAAAATTAAGAAAGTAATCCCATTTACAGTTTCATTAAAAAGAATAAAATACCTAGGGATAAATTTAACCAGAGAGGTGAAAGTACCTGTACCCTGAAAACTTTAAGACATTAATGAAAGAAATTGAGGACACAAATAAATGAAAAGATATTCCATGCTCATGGATGGAGAGAATTAATGATAAAGTTTTAATTTAATGTCTTTACTACCCAAAATAATATACAGATTCAGTGCAATCCCTATCAAAGTTCCAATGATAATTTTCATAGAAATAGAAAAAACGATCCTAAAACTTGTTCGGAACTACAAAATACCCCGAATAACCTAAACAATCTTCAGAAAAAAGAACAAAGCTGGAGATATTACACTCTGTGGTTTCAAACAATTTACAACGCTATGGTAATCAAAACAGTATGGTATTGGTGTAAAGACAGGCATAGATTAATAGATATAAATGTATGCATGTAGGATCAATTAATTTGTGACAAAGGAGCCAAGAATATACAATGGAGAAAGAATAGTCTCTGCATAAATGGTATTAGGAAAATTGGACAGCTGCATACAAAAGAATGAAGCTGGACCACTGTCTTAAATCGTACATGAAAATTAACTCGAAATGCATTAAAAACCTGAGTGTAAGACCCGAAACCATGAAACTACTAGAAGAAAACGTAGGTGGTAAGCTCCTTGACATCAGTCTTGGTGATGATTTTTTGGATGTGACATTGAAAGCAAAGGCAACAAAATCCAAAAAAGTAAAATAAAATGAGTAGGACTCCATCAAACTGAAAAGCTTCTGCACAGCAAGGGAAACAATTACCAAAATGAAAAGGCAATCTACTGAATGATAGGAAATATTTGCAAATCGTGTATCTAAATAGGGGTTAATACCCAAAATATATAAAGAACTCATACAACTCAATAGAAAACAAAAATAATTTGATTAAAAAACGGGCAGAGGAGCTGAATGGACATTTTTCTAAAGAAAATTGAGATATACCGATGGCCAACAGGTTTATAAAATGATACTCAACATTGCTAACCATCAGGGAAATGCAAATCAAAACTACAGTGAGCTACTACCTGACACCAGTTAGAATGGCTGTTATCAAAAAGGCAAGAAATAACAAGTGCTGGGAAAGATGTAGAGAAAAGAGACCCCTTGTGCATTGTCGGTGAGAATATAAATCGGTGCAGCCACTACGGAAAACAGTGTGGAAGTTTCTCAAAAAATTAAGGCTAGAACTATCACGTGATATTTATCCGAAGAAAACAGAAACAGTAACATGAAAAAAATATATGCACCATGTGGTTCATTGCAGCATTATTTACAATGGCCAAGATATGGAAATAACCTGTGTCTATAGATGGGTGAATGAGTGTGTGTGTGTGTGTGTGTGTGTGTACATATAGCCTATATAGCCTATATATTCAAATATTACTCAGTCATTAAAAAGAATGAAATCTTATCAGTTGCAACAATGTGGTTAGAACTTGAGGAATTATGCTAAGTGAAATTAATCAGACGGAGAAAAACAAATACAGTATGATCTTACTTATATGTGGAATCTAAAAACAAGCAAACAAGAACCAAACTCATAGATATAGAAAACAGTTTGGTGGTTGCCGGAGGTGGGGGGTGGAGGAATGGGCGAAACAGGTGAAGGGAGTCAAAAGGTACTGACTTTCAGGTGTGAAACAAGTCATGATGTAACGTGCAGCATAGTGAGTATAGTTACTAAATACTATATTGCATATTTGACTTTGGCTAAGATGGTAGATCTTAAAAGTTCTCATCATAAGAAAAAAAATTCTGTAATTATGGTGACAGATGTTAATGAGACTTACTATGGCAACTATTTTGCAATGTGTACAAATATTGAATTACGTGGTATACCTGAAATTAATATAATGCTATACATCAGCTATACCTCAATAAAAAATACAAATGAAAATAAAGTTTTATATTTTGAGGAAAAAAAGACTTTAAAATTGTGCGGGACACAATTTAGCCCCTAACAGCCCATTTCTTCATTCCATAAAAGGCTTTCATTACAAAAATAAGTCATTAACATGGACATATAAATCCTCTATGTACATAAACACGTATTAGATGGGAAGTTCTTGAATGAAATTGTTTTCCCCATAACACTTTACTACAGGCATTTATTTGCATTACTGTGTCTTCTACTAGACCAGAAACATCTTGAAGAAAGGAAATCTGACTCCATCTTTAAATCTCCATTATGGTGCTTGGAACATCTTTTTAGTGCAGAGCGAACAATCCCATCTAAATATAACTTCCTTTCTCTGTGCATGAATACGATGAGCTTAGAAAAGGAAAGACGTGTCATGTCCGAATGCAGCCAGCAAGCCCACCGCTAACACGTGTGTGTTTTCTGCAGCTCGTCTTTTGCCGGGACTGTAAGGAAGAGTACCACGAGAGTGAATGCATCCCTCTGGCCTCCGGAGCAGCTGCCCAGGTCAGGTGCATTCTTCCTTCCTCAAAGCGGGGCTCGGGATGTGGGTGGGAGATGGGAGCTGTTTCCTCAAGGTCCCTGAGGCTTTCACTCTGAAAAAGCAAGAGCCAGACTGGTAGCCCACAGCCATCAGAATGCAGCTGTGGCTTCTCCCCCACCACCGGCCGTCCCTCCGGAGCCACGCCCCTCTTCCGGGCAGAGCTGTGGACCTCCCAGTGGCCGTTCAGGCGTGTCAGTCCTTCCATGATACTTTTCCCCAGAGGCTTAAGGAATAGGGGTGAGGAACACAGCTTGATCGGAGGAGTCTTCGGAGGAGAGGCACAACGATTTAACAACTTCTAAATCAGAGAAGTCCGTACTGACCCCACGTTCATTTTTTTTCAAAAGTGCCTTTGCTTAGAATCTTTGACGAAAATTATCTCCATGAACAAAACGACAGAAGTATTATGTGATGCGAGTATCATTATTGTTTAGCACAATATCATGAACTATGCTAAACTGTATTTCGGTCTCAATTAGGTAAAAAATGTTGTTTACTGAGCCTCGCTCTCTGATGGGCTACATCAGGCTTAGGGAAATGCAAATACTTTTTCTTTTATTTATTAATTATGATCAACCTGACCTTAGGGGGAAAGGGATAAAAATTTCAACACGGTTGATTAATTTGCTCATTATTTTCTTCTAATATAGATGTTAACAAGGGTTTAAACACCAAATCTACCCAGATAAATCCTTTAGTCATTTTATTGACAGGAACCTCATAAATCAACATAGAAATTCCAGAACACTTTAATTTTACAGTAGGGAATTTTAAATATCTGAATGCTCTAAAATCAGAGTATTAAAAAGCATATTCCTGTAAGTGTTCCGTGGATATATTTACTCAGCATTAGCATAACTAAATAAGCGTAATTTGCGAATTCGGCTTTTCTCATCGGCTCCTACAATGTTGGCCATAGGCATATTGAGATATTTAGGACCGAGCTGCCATTTCTATCGCAAAGGCAGCAAATGCTCTCTCTATTGGTTTCATTTTAGCTCAGGAGCACGCAGTGGGGAGCTCACTGAGTACCGATGTCAGGAATGATAACCACTCTGAGAAGCCCTGGCCACAGGACGGCTGCAGCCCAGCAGGGGACAGCCTGACCTGCTGGGAAATAGAGTTGGTCTCGCAACGTACATCCATGTGTTTTTATGATCGCAAACATGGACAAAGCCTTCCAAGAGGTGGTACCCTAACGTCTGACCGTTTTAAAATGGTGGTGGCGAGGTGAAGAGCATAGCATTACATAACGGTTTCAAGCTGCCCTACCCACCCAGCAAGCCCCTCCATTCTCT